AGAGGGGAAAAGACCAGAGTAAGAAATATGGACAAAGGCTGAGAATCTAGGATCCAATATACACATGGAAAGAGAAACATGTATTAAAAGAGCAGAGAGTTACAGTCTTCCCTGACCCTGCAGAACACCACACTGACTTGATTTCTGACTTTGCCTTTATCAGCTCCTCATGAGTGTGTTGTTGGTAATTTCTAGAGCCCTTAACCTGGCAGCTCCCAGGACGCTGCTCTTGGTTCTCTTTGTTTCTTGACCTGAAGCTTCATCAAGCCCCAGCTCCTCAGCCTGACATTCTGGGATGCTGATCTTCAAGACTTTTAAAAACATGATAACTTCACTTATCATGTCTTCATCAAAACCCACCTCCAAGGGCTCAAGGATCTATGCAGAAGAGGAGGTGAAGAGGTGGTAAGAGCCAGAGGTGATGGATGATTCCAAGGAAACAGTGTCTCCAGACACAGCAGAACTGATGCCCATATGAACTCACAGAGACTGTGGCTGCAGGCACAGGGCAGGCACAAATTCAAGCCAGACCAGGTCCCAGCACTGAGAGGGGTAAATGGACACATGCCTCACCCGAACCAAGAAGCTATCTGCAGTTGATCCCCACTGACAAAGGGAAAATCAGTTTACTTCAGTGGAGTGTCACTGGGTAAATCAATCACACTCCCGGGCAGACCCCATGCCCAGAAGTAGTTGGTCAAAACAAAATGAACTCAATGGTACTTTTGCAGGCTTTTTGTCTCATTTTACTTTGTTTGGGCATTTTTTTTTTTTTGCCTTACCGGTCTTTTGCTTGTTTATTTTTTGTTTTTGTAGGGCTGTGTGTGTGTGTGTGTGTTTCTTGGGTTGTCTGGTATGATGGCACAAGCCTTTAGTTTCAACATTGAGGAATCAAAAGCAGGTGAATCTCCAAGAGTTCAAGACTCACCTGATATGCACAGAGTTCCAAGTCAGTCAAGGTTACATAGTGAGACTCTGCTCAGAAATAAACAAGCAAGCAAAAAAAACTATAATGTACACACTGTCTCGAGGAATCATCACTTTCATGTGTTTGGTGCTGCAGGCAGTTTTAAGATTTATTTGTACATATGCATATACACATACGTATTTCTGTAGTTGAATTTACAGCTAACTGCATGAAAAAAAACCATTGATACCCAGATGTTTTTAGTGTTTTTGGACTGTGGTTTACAAGAAGTTTAAAACGTCTTTAGCACCATCAAATGGATTTAAACGCCATGTTGTCTTTACAATAACCTAAATGTGTACCCATAAACTGGCTTTCTCACATTTGGAACAATACACATGATTAAAGTGCATATTAGGCGTGGGGGGGGGGTAGGCCCAGCACTTAAGAGCAATTGGCTGCTTTGGTGGAGAATCAGAGTTTGGATCCCAGTACCCACATTGCAACTCACAACCACCTGTAATCTAACTCTTGTCCGACGCCCTCTTCTGTTCCGCTCAGGCATCTGCATGCAGGTGTGCATACACAAAGGCAGACATACACATGCATAAAGACAATTAACTCTAAAAGAAGCATATTGGCAGTGGTATTTACACACACTGAAAACTTAACCGCTTGACGCCAGCCAGTTAAAATGCAGTCTAAGAAGCCTGACGCCAGCTGGCTCTGTCTGCAGGGAAGAGCAGAAGCGAAAGCATCAAAACGTCCTCGCGCATCTGTCCAGGTGTCTGCGCATTTTGTCTCCGCAGATGACCTTTCCCCGCGCGTGGCCGGGACTCACGGTCCGGACCTCAGCGCCCCCGGCGGCGGGTCCGGGCAGCAGCACGGGGTAGGGGAGGCGGCGCCCAGCGTCCCGCGCTTCCCGCGAG